CACCGCCGGCGCCGTTTCATAGTTTACGGGGGATTTGCAAGGCGCCCGAGCGATTTCTGGGTAGCTGTGGCCAGTGTATTTACTAAAAATGTGAGGTAGATGAGCGGCCGGTAGCAAGGCTGTGTCCCCCGGGCGCAGAGCTTTCCTCCGGACGGGCAGCAGCGGCCGAGGAGAGTCGCTCAGACCCAGCCAAAGTTTGTTCTCCTTCCAGAAGCCCGAGAAGGGGTCGGGGGGAGCGAGCTCAGGCCGGAGATCGGTGGCAGACAGCGCCCGGCTTAGTTTCCTTCGTTTCGTTTTAAGAACCCGTTCGGTTTTGCAGGATGTGTATAGGGCTTCCACGTCCTCTCTGGAGATCAGGGTGCATTTGGCGGCGTGGAAAGCGATGGAGTTGATGGCTTTGAGTTTCCTCAACTCCTCCAAGTCGCAGTGATGTTTTTTTACTTTTAAATGATCCATTCGCTTGTGCACGGTAGTTCGCGGGATGTTTTTGAGCAGGTCTGTAAAAACCTGGGAGAGTGCAAACATTTGCTTTCCTTTAATGATGAGGTAGCCGAGCCTCACGCCATCCACCTCTTCAAAACCCGACTTCAGGTCTCCCATTTCGTGAATTAAATTATTCCCAGCATTTGCAGAGAGAGAGAGAGATGAAAAAAATAAAAAAAAAAAAAAAAAGAAAAAGCCACACACACACAATCCTCAGCCAGATGCTGTATTTGTCTCAAGGCATCCTGCTAATAAAATATAACAAAGGCTGTTATTCCTGGTGAATGAAGTGCCAAACTTTAGACAAAATTAAAAAAAAATAAATTAAAAAATACTGTGAGACTACAATCAATATATAATCTTAAAAATCAGGTTTGCCAAAGTGTTTCTCTAAGTTGTTGCTGAAGATCAGTACCTGTTCCCTTTCATTCCCTGCTTTTCCATTGGAAACTATGATAATGGAATGTGAAGGGAGGAAGAGAAAAGAAATGCAGCTGCTATTCCCGCCGCTGCTTTAGCTACAAATAAAATGACAGAGTGAAGTGAGCTCGTCCGGAGACACCTTCATCAATTAATTCCCCTAAAGCCAACGCTGATTGGACACTCCTGACAGGTGATGCAATAAAAATTGATATTCCACCCCTTCCCCCAAAAAATCTCCCACTAATTAGCATACCCTTATACTGCCACCTCCCCTCCCAAAGTAAATAATACAGTTAGTATATAAATCTTTCTATTAAACAATCCGAGCTCAAACACACTCAGCCCTCTCAGACTTCCTCGTCGCTAGCTTCGGAGGAAGGATTTGTATGCTTTTTCCCCCTATCGTTCCGTATATTTTCAGCCTGTTTTGGACAAACGTTGCTCTTTTGTGCATGCCGTGAATTTAAAGGACATAAGTCTGATCGTAGCGATGGAAAATCCTTCGGTAACGTAGCCGCTTTAAACTAGCGTTTTATTCTGCATTGTGTGGAAAATGAAGCTTAGCGAAAACGTGCAGAACAGCTTGGTATTTCCCCTTCTGAGGCTCCAAAGTTAAATGTTCGGTTGTTAACGAGAGGGAGTACTTACATTTTCGAGTTTCTCTTGATTTTCCTCTTCTGCTTAATTAGCTTTTTATAGCCGGGTACTAAGGTTATTTTTGCTGTCTGAATATCACGGGTTCCCGCACCGTGATACTATAACACTTTTAACTGAAATTCTGCCAGTAATATTGCAGGAGGGGGGAGGAGGACGTGAGCTCACGTCAGACCCATAACAAAGCATAGATAAGCCAGAAATGTATACACTTTTCACGATTAACCGTGCTGGATCACGAGCTGGAATGTCCTATAGTCCCAGAGCCCACGTCAGGATTCCTGCGTGCTGATTGCTTCCAGCAGAGAAAGGAGAATGTAAAATATCCAAGGTGTTTCCAGGAGCCTTTACGTAATAACAAAAAAAGTGCTGGAACACACAATGTACGATATTACATCGGGCTAGGATGCTTCTGGCTCGCAGTTTGCATATTCCGCTCGGAGTAGCCCTGCCGAAGATTTTTGATGCTCCATTTATAGCAGCCCCTTAAAATCAATTTGAAGAAGCAGCATGAAGGTTTAACCTCTTCTTAGGAACGTTAAATTATTCGAGTGTCAAGAACGAGGATCTCGCAAATGTTGCGATAGCTGCATGCCTCTCCCTTGTCACGTTAAAGTGATGCTTGCGGTTTGCACGTTAGGCGCTGCGAAAAAAAAAAATCACCAATCTCTGCCGTGCATCCAGTGTTCCGCTGGATACAAACACCAGCACTTTTATGTATCACTGCACATCCAGAATTAGACACATCCGCGAGATTAATGAGACATCTCATACTGCTGTGACTTGGCAAAAAAATCGACGGAGGAAAAAAAAAATCTTCAATCGCAAACGTCAATATCCACTCCGCGTGTTGGCAATATGGTGCGTGGAGTTCGTGTTACCCCGTCAGGTACAGCTAAAAGAAAGCGCATAATCACTCTGTGAAAACGCCGTTTTGCATGACAAGGCGAAATGCAGGCAAGCCCCCAATTTCCCAGGAATTCGAGAGAGAAGTGGGAATTTGGAGAAGTGCATCCGGGAATGGAGGAAGTCTATTCAAGGGAGCCTCCAACTCGGAGGGCTGAGATTTGAAAAGTCAGCCCTGGACTACTGTTGCTCTCAGCGCAGATGTAATCGCCGCTGTTCAACTTAATCCATGTGTGTGCGAACCGCGATGCCTAGTTCTTCCCTCTGAAACCTAGGGATAGTATTCCCATCCGAGAAAGCAGAGCTACAGCAAATTACATTTTGTCCCTCGAATTAGAAAAGGATCATTGAGTGGATCTCGTGATATTTCAGCCTTTAAACGTAACCGAGAGGCAGCAGTGAACAATGCCTCGGCACAGCTCAGACCATCCGCGGAGTTCTCCTTCCCTCTCCTCGCATCTGGATCTCCCAGCCTTGCCTTTCTCCTGCTCGCTCGTGTGAGAGGCAAAAAAAGCAAAGTTTCGAAAGAAAACAGCTGCTGGCGCTAAAGAGAAATCATCGTGGTCTTTCTAGAGCTAGAGACAATAAGGTCGTTTAAAAATTCCTCCTGATGTACTTATATGCTGCGAACACCCCCACCCCCTCCCTACTGCTCTCCTCCCCCTGCTTTAAGGTTAAGGCTATGGAGTCAACAGTAAAGGAACAGTAAACTCCGAGAAAGCTGCTCAGAAGACGTTACCCAAAAGCTCGATGGGCTGAAAAGTCCTTTATTTGTCAGGTAGTTCAGCTGGGTCGGATTCCCGTGTAAATCCACGCGTGCACTCGCACGGAGGGAGCCACGGGCATCCAGACCCGCACCCACGCGCTGCCAGTGATAGCCTGGCAGTGGGATTCGGCAACTGTTTAAAAAATGTCCCTTTTGAAATTTATTTTTATTTTTATTTTTATTTTAAATTCCGGTGCTACCAAAGGTTTAAAACTAGTGACGGCTTTTCGGCAAACCTCGGGTTCCCGAAAGGTGCGGCCATGAGCACCGGGGTCGAGGCAGCGCCAGATGTCGGCAGGGAGAAACCCACAAGAAATCTTGGGAAATGTCAGGCGCCCAACCTACACATCCCCACCGTATACTTACACACACTTTCGGTTGCATATCTTTCTCCGCATCTCACACAAGAGAGCTTTGTTTCTTTACTTCTCCATCATTTGGTTTGGCTCTTTTTGTGTGTGTATGCGTGTGTGTGCGTGCTTTCCCTTGGCCATCGGCACACGTTGTGTATCCGGGGTCGTCTTGAAGCAGGCTGGGGGAGATCCTGATAAACAGCCGTCAGAGGCCCCTTGCACACGCACACGCACATTAAAGGCAGGGGACTTGAAAATGGATTTGCACGCACACAGGGGATTGCGATCAATAGCCACCAACATTTATGGCTTAGATTGTTAATGTGAAGGCTGGTCAAAAGAATGAAAATGAAAAATTAAAGGTGTCTGGTGTCAATTACATGAAAAGTTATGCCATAATTTACTTATTGGGATGTATGCCTGCCTGTTTGTGTGTCCATGTGCATGTGTGTGCAGACCCAGATGTATATGTAGCTATGTCTCAAAAGCAAGGGAATTTCTTTGTTAATTTTGTGGACTCTGTCACCCTCACTGGTGATCAAAGATGAACACGATTAAAGGAATGGATGTTTGTCTCACATTTCTTAAGATAAGGACGCCAGAGATGCCCGGTTTTGCCAAATACATACACATGCAACTACAGAGAGTTGTGTGTATGGGCGCATACACACACAGAGGCGATCAATCAAACGTGCTCCTTTTCACGTTGAGTAGCGTGCAATTTGCAATCTACACTCTATAGCCAGTAGTATTTCAGTCTTAAAACTGTCTGGCTGAAGGATAAACCTTATTAGAAAAGAAAGAGCAAAATAATATTCATAATACTTTGCTGTAGACCTATTCCCATTTGTTGAAAATCATATACTTTTATTTTTGTAAACTTGTGTTAAAATATATATGCTCAAAGGGAACTGCTTAGCCATGTCATTCCAGAAAGAAAACGTGTGTAACATTTAAAATACTCCTTTTACGTGATGTTTTGATTTATTTTCATAGTATGATTATGTTTAAATACCAGTGCAATTTAGCCTGACCTCTTCCTTCTGCAAGGTAGTAATGCACACGCCATTTACAGTCTTTTAAACGTTTCATTGGGAAATGCAACAGCAATGTCCACCACCGGCTGTACTAATGGGGAGAATTCTGAAAATCTTCAGGAAAACCTAAGGGTCATGTGCGTTTTCACAATAGGATTGCCACATTATTAGAGTATTATTATTATTTATTATTATTTGCTAATGCTGGACTATGTCTTCAGGTATTGACAAGTATTAAATAAACCTTTTGCTTTCATGATGCTGTGCGGAAATGCATATTTCACATGAGAACTTGATTTCCAACACTACACCCTGCTTCTAGTTACTGTTGGGCGTATTTTGCTCGAGGAGGACACAGATAGAAAGCAGCTAGAGGGTATCACAAAGAGTCCAGTAATGTAAATATAATAGGGTCAAGGAATAGTATAATAGGATCCTTCTGCTATTTTAAAGTCAGTGAAATGTGACTGCAGTAACTAAAATTTGCCCTAAATTCTAGTCAGACAACGTATCAGAATGTATAAATAAATCTCCTAAATGTGCAGGACAAAGAAATACCAGCCATCAGTCTGGGAAAAAAAAAAATCATAATCTGGCTAACACTCTTATACCTAGAAGTTTCAGGGTTGTTTTTTCTTTTTTCCATTTTTTCTTCTTTTCCTCTCTCTCTCTCTTTTTTTTTTTTTTTTTTTTTTTTTTTTTTTTTTTTACAGAGATGCAGTGTAGAATTCTACTAAGTGCTTTTTAAGTTTGTGGGGGTTTTGTTTAATTTTTTTCATGGGAGCTGGAGTGTTTCTTGCACACTAGAATTTTGTGCAATTTATAATCGCTATGGGCTAAGACTATTTCTTGAATTTAATATCCATGGTAGTTTTAAAATACTTTTTAGCAGGAGTTTCTGGACACATACTACATGCCATGTTGTTTACTGACCCATAATCAAAATGCAGTGACCTTCTACCCTTTTTTTGCCCCTTGACCCATGCTGAATTCAATGCAGCCTTTATAAATTTGCAAATCCTTGGACGTAAAGGGGATTTGGTGAGGCTTTGTTCTGAAAGGATCCTAAAAGTTTGCATTTTTAATTAGACAAAGGTAAAGCAACAAACATTGGGAAACAAGATCCTCTCTTGCACATAGGTGATCACTCTTAATTTCTACGGTGGGAAACCACATCTTAAAAATCGTACCCTGCAAACTGGAAAGCAGTTGCAAACGAAGGAGATCAGGAGGTTATGAATTGCACCAAATTAGCAATGTGGTACAAATCACTTTCATGACGTAAGGGATAGCCAGGCCACAATCTTCCGGCGCTCCTCATCTCCAAGGACCGTGTGGATCCTGGTGACCCGGGGAGAGGGGCGAGCCAGCGATTTGATCTGGAGCTACAGGCGCATTCCCTTATCTCCTTTGCTATCAGTCAGTTTAAAGGACACCGTAATTATGATGGTGATAAAACAATGCCCGCTTATGTGTGCTGAATAAATAAAGAATGTTTACAGCCCCAGAATGTTTCAATTCCAATTAAACGCTATCAAAGAAAAGCCCCTTTTGCTCCCTCCCCTCTCCCTCCCTCTCCCCCACGACTCCCTATTTACCTTGTTGGTTGTAATATGGCCCTATGAAATAAACCGGCCTTCCAGTTTGCCATTAAGGCCACATCGGGAGGAGGGGGAGGAAGAGGAGGAGAGGGGGTGTGAGACAACAACATGCGCTCCCGGTCCCACAATTACTTTGGGTCGCCTGCATTCTCACTCTTTCTTAAAATTTATTTTGCTATTATTTGTTTATTTTTTCAATTGGCAAAGGCGTGATGATGCAGGGGGAAAAGGCACTTAAAGATCCTGCTCCAACCACGGGCCGAGGGAGTTGGCCTAAATTAATGCAGCGCCCTTGGGCACTGGAGGAGGGGGCTGTGCCCCTCAGCCCCGGCTGCCACCCCACCGGGGCCTCGGGGAGCGGGGTCTCCCCGCCGCTCCTTTTCCCTCTGCAGCAGGGAGCCTTGGAAACGGGAGCTTGGAAATGCTTCCCACTCACTAAGACACAAGGATCATTTCAAATATTCATTGTATCAGCAAATCTCGTCGTAATCAGATTAAAGCAAGGTTTGGGGAGGAACTGCCCCTGTTTCTGGGTGCAAAATGCCGACTGGACTACAAAGAGAGCAGAAAATGGGTTCCTCTCCCCCCCGCCTTGGTTGCATGGGGAGAAAAAAGAAAAACAGTAATTTTTGCAAAAAAGGGACACTTAAAAAAAATTGCAATTTTCCCCATTCCACCTCGGGTAGCATATTCCTCTCAGAGGTTGTTTTCCTTTTAACTTTAGGCTTAGCATTTCTATATGATGCTCTTATTTACTTGTTTTAAACTACAGAGACTATTCCCGCTGTGGAATACACTGAGGTAGATTTTCTTCATGCCAATTTGCTTTTTGCTTATCTCAGCCGAGGCAACAGCTTTTCTACATACAAGCTTTAAAATGTATATTTCATTGAGTTGTCTGGGGTGAGGTGTTTATATCCATTTTGTGGAAGTGAGTGAGGAACTGAGTGCATTTTCAGGTCTGCTCGATAGATGCAGGCCCTTTTCCTTTTGAAAGTTTAGACTTCCAATACCCTCAATTCTACTGGCAGAATTAGGATGGACTTGGAGGGTCCTAAACGTGACCATTCACTAAGGCGGGGGGCTTGCAACAACGTGCTCGGCAACTTAATCTTACACTAAAAAGAGCAGAGTGTAAAAGAATGGAATACAAACTCTCCCGACATTTGTAGTCGCTTCCAAAGTGGACCGTGCATTTTAAAGCTGATGGGAACGTGTGCGTTTTGGAGCAAAAAGGAGAGAAGGTAAGCGTTTATTCCCTTGTATCCGCCAGTTCGGGTAGAAACAATGAAAGAACAAAGGGAACCACTTCTCCGTGTGAACGTTTCCCATTTTCCTCCTCCGTTTGAGCCTCACTGCGAGGGGCTGGCGAGGGGACTCGCTCCAGCGTTACCTTTGGCGGCGGGTCGGGGGTGCGGGGCACGGG